TTACTGACTTCAGAGACAGCTTTTCTCATTTTGATTTTACAATTTTGAATGCAGCACAAGTTGCAAAACAAAATGTGAAAAAAAAGGCTGTACTGATAAAAATTCTGTTTTGTTTACTGCTGTATGCATGAGCCCTAAATTATAAACAATAGGGAAAGGACTCACCCTTCCATGCCCCTGAGTTGCTTGGATCAGAAAGAATTAAAGCAGAACTCCGGACAAAACTGTTCTTAACCTTTGCAGTGGGGCTATCCCACACTGCAAGGGTTAAGTGCTTGTTTTTGTCTAGGTGCTAAAATAAAAATGTTATACTCACCTGATCCTTGGAGATGGCTTGCTCTTAGACCGGTCCCTGAAGCCTCAGTGTATACGATATGAGGACGCCAAGGGACATACCATTGCTTCAGCAGAGGAAGAGACAGGTGACAGAGAACAATCAGTTCCAAGGATCATGTGATTATAACTTATTTATCTTAGCACCTAGACACCTAGAACACAATTGGATTCTTTGTGTTGAGCATGTTGTAGGTTCGAGCTTCAATGCCTAGGTGTGAACAGGGCCAGTCAATCAGGCACTTCTATATTACACAATGTTATCAGTCTAAAGGTGCCCGTACACCTTGCGATAATCGTACGATTATCGTGGGAAATCCCACGATCGTACGATTATCGTATGTTGTGTGGAAGCCGTGCGACCTCTACTACTGTAAGGTCGCACGACTTTTATCTTAGGAACATGTTTGAAAACCCGCCGAGCATTGTACGATGTTCGGCGGGTGTGTAGCATGTTCGTAAGATAAAAGCCGGACGGGCCGGTGTGCGCAAGCGCACACTGCCCGTTCGGCATTGCGGTCATCGGAAGCCCGCCCCTCAGGGGGGCGCGGCTTGCGATCATCGCAAGTACGATCTGCCTGTCCAAGATGGGCAGATCGTACGTTTTTTTAATTACCTTACAACCATCGCAAGACAAAAGTCTTGCGATGGTTGTAAGGTGTGTGCCCAGCTTAACACTAGGTACTTGCTAACAGGAGCACAGACTGATGACCAAACTGCACTGCTTAACTGCAGTGGAGAAAATTGAGGTCATTGACCTACCTATGCTGTCTGGATCCAAGACTGGCTGAACAGAACCACAAATCCTTTTTGAGGCAAGATATGTATTTCAACAGTAACTGGATTATAGTAAGAAATGTATACTTTACATTAGAATTAGCAGATTTTATACTTAATTCTTTTACAAATAAAAGAAATCCATTTCAACCTCCCCTAAGATCCACGTTGTTGTAGACGAGGTCCTCTTTGATTACAGAATCCAGTACTAATATTTACATGAATGATTATGTAAGGAGATTACATTTTGTAATGTTTTAAGAAAGGAAGAAAGTGTTGACTTAAAAATAGATATACTGAGCAGTATAAAGTATTGCCTTCTATAAAGCTGTATGGTTATCCTAATCTTGGAGCTTTACTGATGTTTAAATAAGACAGCAGCTGTGATGAAAACCCTCAGAGCGAAAAACATTCCCCAGCCCCTCACGTTAGATATTTTTCAACAATGAAAGCTTATTATTTTTAGGGCTCGTTCGCAGCTATGCATTTTAACACGCACATAAGGAGAGCTTTGTCATTGTTTCTATTGGTGTTAGTTTGCATATTTATACATTATATAGCAATGCAGAATACCACCAGCTTTAGAGAACTACAAATCTCAGCAATACATTATACAGCAATTCAGAATAACACCAGCTATAGAGGACTACAAATCCCAGCAATACATTATACAGCAATGCAAAATAACACCTGTTATAGAGGACTACAAATCACAGCAATACATTATACAGCAATGCAGAATAACACCCGCTATAGAGGACCACAAATCCCAGCAATACAGAATGGCACCAGTAACAGGCGGGAGGGTTGCGGGGGGGCCCATCATCAAAATCTTGCCCGATTACTATTAAAGATGGTCTTGCTCTGCACCATTCTCCTAGCTAGTAGATGGATGGCTTCTGGAGACTGCTCTGTCCCTTGTGATCTTGCACTGGACAGGAAGTTTAGGGAAGCCGAGCTGAGAGAGTTGTAGCTAGCTGATCAGAAACACAATGACTGTAATGCTTGGACAAAAATGTAAAGAAATACTTTGCTGGGCAATGTATATTTGTTTTGACCTGGATTCATTATTGGTGTTACATCATGTACCAGAGAGGGAGGAGCGCATCGCTGGAGGGGATCGGTATGGCAGGTAAGTCTGCCATAATGTGCTAATATGCTGTGCACCCTAGCACATTATTAAATAATACTGGCCTTAAGCAAGCAATGACAATGTTACATTGTTTAGCTGTTGAGTTTTAATTCAGAAGGCAGGCTCTGTGAGAGTTGTGACACGAGGGAGTACATATTTACAGGGCTAAGTGAAATTGTGTCACTGCACTGAGGAAGTACATCCTATGGACATCTTCATTTGGTAAATTTACAAACCTCTAGATGGATATGGTTATTAGGAGTGCGATACAATGTATGAAAATTCAATATAGAACTACATATTTATATTTAGTTTTTGACCATAGGTCCACTTTAATAGGATAAAGACCATATGTTGGAAGCAAAGCATGATGGGATATGTAGTCTTGAGAAAGACTTGAGATTGTATCACATCGAGCAGCAGGGTTAGAGACACAAAGCACACTGGGAATCCAGGAAGTTGTTGGAAGTGATGGGCAGACAGAAGGCAGCACTCATCACATAAAGGGATTTTTTGACGCAAAATGTGATTGTATTATCAAAACTAACTCTAGTATGTATTCCTATTACATTGCTGATGTTATAACAGGAGAGGACATGCTGGGACTTACAACTCATCTCATCCTTTAACCTCCCTGGTATTCCCGAGTGTGGCTCGGGGTTAATTTTCTCTACCATAAGTGGTAACCCTGAGCAACACTCGGGAATACACAGCGCGTCTCTTACCTTGTCCCTCGAGCCGCACTGTGTCCTCCGGCCGATGCCGGAATCCGTCTTCCAGCCCTTGCGAGCGTCCGCGTCGCAGGGGGGGGGGCGACCGGCGGGAGATTAAAAAGTTAGAAAAAACCCCGAAAACAAATAGAACGAAAAAAGGAAGAAAAAAAAAAGAAATCATAATTCAGCTCTATATTCATTAAAGAACTCCAGGGGAATGGAATAAAGTATATTCACTGACCTGATTATGGGCTCCACGGCAGTCGGCACTCACCTCTGTCTCCCTGTGCGGAATGTCCCCCGGCGTCCTCCTGTCTAATGCATGTCAATGAACCTGAATAAGATGTGATGTCAGTGGTCCTTAGACCACCAGAGCCCGGGGGAGAAGAGGCTGTGGGGACAAGTCTAGCAGCCCGCCAGGACTGAGTATCAACTGCTTTATTCCATCCCCTAGAGAAAAACAAGCACTTAACCCTTGCAGCGTGGGGGTCTTCCCACTGCAAGGGTGCTACGTTTTTGAAATGCCTCGAGCTTCTTTAAGATATCATAAAATTGGATTTTTTTACTCACCGTAAAATCCATTTCTTTGAGTCCTTTGAGGTACATAGGAAGACTGTCGCTCCAAGAGTTTCTGTTAGTGGTGCACCGAAATAACATTTTCTGACCAAAACCAAAAATAAAAAAAACTGTCAGGCCGAAACTGAAACCAAAAGTTTTTCTTCCAGCCTTTGTAAACATTTAAAAAAATATTTAATTTACTTTTTTCTAAACTTCTTTAAAAAAAAAATGTAATACTTTATTTTTTTAAATTAAATATTGTTTTTTTTAACTTTACTATCGGGGGCTTCAGGGAAATATTGGGATCTAAACATCTAAACCGACCGCTGATATTTCCCTTTTTAAAATAGAAAAAGAAATTGAGGACGCAAAGTCCACAATCTCTTTTTCTGCAGCCCCTGTTTTCAATGTACAGGAATCCTCTATGCTGAGTGCTCCTAATCATTCATAACATGTGGAGATAGTATGTTTGTCATGTCCACAATCATGAATAAACACGAGGGGATGTATATCACTTCCCATTCATTCATAATTGGGGACACAGTAAACATACTATGTCCTCAATTACCTACAAACACTCACTGATCACTGACTGCTTGTACCCACTCTCCATCCTGACAAGGTGCAGGGGTAGCCTCACTGCAAGGGGTAAGAAAAATGTTGCCCGGAGTACTGCTTTAAATACAAGCAGTGTATACCTCTAAGGGATTTGGTATCAGCGCCTTATTCATTTTTGTACAGCAGAGCTCAGACTGGAGGAGGAAGAAGCAGGACAAGGACCCAATCAGTTGTGCTGCAGTGCTTATGTAATAACAAGGGACATGGTTAGAAGAGGGCAGGGTGACAAATATAAGATCATTAGTCTGCTGCTTTCCCTTTCACTGTCTATCCAAATATTTGGAAAAGGACAAGACCTGTTAATGTTACTTGACTTCAGCTGAGAAAAATACGGTCTTTTTCCTGCCAGGGAGGGCTGTGCTGTGTGATAGAGCTGTGTAAATGTCAGGACTGGATGGGCAGAAATACAAATCCTTTGGCAGATTAACAATCTTTATATGTAATTGTTCTATGAGGGGGAGCAGAGAAAATCTGGAGCAGTTGCCCATGGCAACCAATCAGCTTCTCTCTTTCATTTTCATAGCTTAACTGAACAAGCTGAAGAGAGAAGCTGATTAATTGTCATGAGCAACTGCTCCAGATTTGATAAACTCCCCCCTATGTATTCAGCTGCGTGCCTGGAGTTCAGCTATGAATACTGCCTATTGTGACCTCTCAGAAGGTGCATGCATGTCTCCAAAGCTGGGCTGAAAAACAAGCCAAATAAACATTTTATCATGCAACTTGTGAGGACCTCGCCGTGTGTCAGCTATAGAAAACCTGCAGCGATAGGTATCACTGTACGAGAAGCATCTCTGAGTCAGCAGCCGCACAGCGCCGTCTACGTCACGTGACCAAACATTGACGCGCTGACCTCTCACGTTAAACAGGTCACCTGTGACAGCTGACACTTCCGGGAAGATGGCGGCTTGGAGACGATTTTTCACCACCCTGGCTCCTAGATTGGGGGCTGTCGGGGGCACTGGGCTGAGGAGCGGGAGGAGCGCTGCTCGCTTGGCTGGAGTGGCGGTGGCCGGAGCGGTGTGCGGAGGGTTGTGGCTGGTGAAGGGGAGAGGAGAGCCGGCAGCGGGACTAATGACGGTCTGCGCACAGGTGAGGGGCATGAGAGTTATCGCTGGATGGGTATTGTGGTCCATGGCGGCTACCGTCCAGCCTGAAGTCTGGCTGTCCTGTACTATTTCTCCATATGTTTACAAACATTACACTCCAGTCCATTACACTCCTCCATCTGCACCTGTCTGTCCCCTTCCCCTGTACACTTACCCTGGGCATATTAAGATCCCCTGTACAGCAGAGCTCAGGCTGGGAGAGGGGAAAGCAGCACAATGAGCCAGTCATTTGTGCTGCCTTGCTCACTTGCTAATGAGGGACTTGCTGATAGGAGGAAAGAGCGGAGTTACAGAGAGAGGCCAGAACATCCATCTTCTGCTTCTCCTTTCACTGTCAAAGGTGCTGGGGGAGGCTGGCCATACACTGATCTATTCTTTTCGTTCAACCCGCAGGATGAACGAAAAAAATCAAGCCGATTCCTCCGTAAACACAAACAGTGTGTCGATTGAGAAATCCCCGCTGTTTACATTGTATTCTGACAGGTGCTCCTGACCCCTGTCAGAATACCCGACCAGAACGGGCAGTTCATTGGCTGCCGGCTCTGATCGATTGAAGATTTTCCAGCCAGCTCCTTTGACCAGCTTATTGAGCAATGCCGGCTGACAGGGTGCCGACAGACCCACACACTGCGAATTTTGATCGGTCGGGGTGTTAAACCCCCTTCCTGGCCAGGCCATTTTTCAGTATTCAGAGCTGTGGTACTGTGACTGACATTTATTCCGTCATGCAACGCTGTACTGAAATGAATTTTATACCATTTTTAGGGGACAGATAGAGCTTTCTTTTGGTGGTATTTAATCACCGCTGCGGGTTTTATTTTTTACCGTACAACGAAGAAAGTTCAGAAAATTTTGAAAAAAAAAAAAACTGTTTTCCCTACGTTATGTTATAAAACATTTATTATTACCCAATTTCTTGGTAAAATATAAAAGACGGGGTCACGTCGGGTAAATAGACACCAAACATGTCAAGTTTAAAAATTGCACATGCCTGCGAAATCACAAAAAACTACCATGTCTAAAATTGGCCATGGGCGACGCTTTAAAAGCTTTTACCGCTCATCAGTTTAGTGTTATTAGTGATTGATGGGCCTAAAATTATTGCACTCACTGCAACGTTCACGGCGATATGTAACATATGCGACGTAACCGTTGTTTTCGCACATAGGCACACCCGACACGTATTTACGTTTTTATAGGTATTTTTTATATATTTTTCTTTAATTACACTTTTTAAAAAGTTTTTTTTTACACTTAACTTGATTGCTATCACATAGGGGGCACCCTATGTGATAGCCAATACAGGCAGTCCCCGGCTTACGAACCCCCGACTTACTAACAACCCGTACTTACGAACTGAGGTCCGATTCCCCCCCCCCCCCCTAAAATTAGTGCGGCTCCCGAGTCCCGCACCTTGCCTCTGCCACCCGTGGGTCCCGCAGTGTAGTGACACAACTACATACAGCTGTCATTCAGTGCCACAGACTTTACTACAATGAACTGCAGTAAAGTTTGTGACACTGAGGGACAGCTGTATGTACCGACGCTGGCGGCTGTGCGGGGATCTGATGCACACAGGCGGCTGTGCATCTGCCTGTCATTTAGGAGAACTGTTTAGCCTGGCGGAGCCGATACGAGACTATGCAGGCACCGCCAGGCAGCCACATTCTGCTGTATGGGTCATCGTGAGGACCCTCTCCTGTGATCCCTCCCCTCCACTGGTTGCCAAGGACGCAGGAGAAGATGTGCTGCAGCCTGCATGTGTTGGGTGAGGTTGGGGAGTGTATGGGTGATGGCTGGCTTGGGGGGAAAGGGGGGATTGGGGGACTGCAGCTGGGCTGTTGGTATTCAGCATTGCTGTATAATAATTATACAGCAATGCTGAATACCACCAGCTATACAAGACTACAAATCCCAGCAACATTATACAAAGCTGATGGTATTCTGCATTGTTGTAGAAAGTATTACTAGAATTTGTAGTCCTGTACACTTAAAAAATTTACCTGTTCCGACTTGCATACAAATTCAACTTAAGAAGAAACCTAAAGTCCCTATCTTGTACGTTACCCAGGGACTGCCTGTATACAGCGACAGGTCCTCTTTATGGAGACATCAGGGGTCTCTAAGACCCCTAATGTCACCTTGGGACCCCCAAAGAAGCTGATGCAGCAGAGATCTGCTTCACCAGCTTCTTCTCTGGCTATAGCAGCCAGAGAAATAACAGCTAAAGGTGGAAGTAATGTAATACACATTCCTTCCACCTTGAGAGAGTGAGGAGGAGAGATCAGCGGTGGGGGAATGCTGATCTCTCCTCTTGTAGCACTCAGTGCTAGTAGCCGCTGTGCCGGTCCCGGGCCCACAGGGGGGACAGCAGAGCCCGGAATAACCGGCAGCAGAGGGGGAGGGGTGGGGGATGCCATGTCATACAAGCGATCGGCCAGTCTGTTTAGACCCCTAATATTTCCCAGAAGCCCCCGACAGTAAAAAATTTCGTTTCGGTTTTGACATTTTATTTGGTTGCAGCTCTAGTCAGTACACAAGTGCGGTAAAACTCCTGCCAACTGCTTTTTGAATTAGCACTAGATTAGTGTTTTTTCCTTGCTTAGTAAATTTTACTGATTTATAACTTTATGTGCAGCGGTTATAGTACTCCCCCCCCCCCCCTTACCTGTCAACGTCGCTTGTCACCGCCGCGGGTTCCAGAAGCAAACCTCTGTTCCCGAACTTCCTGGTTGCGGGGGAGGAGATTGAGGAGCCTGTGGCTCCTTCTGCCGTTAACCTGATGGGCGGAGAGGAGGTGTGTGGCCTGACCGGAGGGCTGTATGTGTCTATGGACGCACACAGCCACTTGCGGGCAAGGCCGGGAACGAGCATGCATGGGATATCTATCAACTTCTTTAGCCGATGGAGGGACCCGTACAGGGGGGAGAGCGATGCGGGGACCCACTATAGCCTGTGCATCACTGGATAGTCTTTCATAAACAATAAAAGGTGGGGAAATTAATGTGAGATTTTAAAGGAGCTGATACTGAAATATATCTCCACTGTAAAGAACATTTTCCCTTCCCTCCCTCCCCCCTCTCTGATCTCAGGCTTCCCTCAGCTTTATGTTTTATTTTCCTTTCTCAGCTGGTCAATCGTGTTTATTATCAAGCTTGTTTCATTGATGTTTCTAAGCCTCGGTTTGTGGGATCAAACTTGCCGAGTCATAAACATAGAAGTGGCAGCTGCTGGCTATTTTCTTTAAAGCCATAATCCCACCGCTAGCATCCTAATAAAGCTCAGGACTAAACCTTTCCTGCTTTTCTAGTCCTCTTTGAGACATGAGAGGCGGCACTTTAGGTGTTTCTGGGAGTTGTTTTTCTATGGAATGCTCAAGAAAGCGAGCCCTTATCCCCGCAATGTAATCTGCCACACAGGAAATATGCAGCTCTACCACAGGATCCTAGGAGCATTTCAAACAAAACTTGAACCTATGGAGCATTTCAAATCAAATTCATTTATCTATTTATTATTATTATTATTATTTTTACTAGGGGTTCCAATGTTGTTTATTATAGCATAGTTTATAAAAATGAGTTTAATTATCTTGGATACATATATTTGACAGAATAATGCAGCTACATCATCTGTAAACCCAAGCACTAACATTTTCAAATAAGCTTTAACATGTATATGAGATCTGCTGTAAATAGGAGGAGCCGTACAATACAATGACAGTTTAACAAAATTATAGGGCTGCAACCAACTAGTGGATTCATCGATAATGAGAATCATTGTGAACATCGGTTTGTGTCCTCTGCGATCCCCGCTGATCTCCACCGTCTGTATTGGCAGTAGGGATCAGTGGGGACACAGACTGCTGCTGTTTTCTCCTTGCTGGGAGCCCAATGCATTCTGCGGTTTGTGTCCTCTGCGATCCCCGCTGATCTCCACCGTCTGTATTGGCAGTAGGGATCAGTGGGGACACAGACTGCTGCAGCTGGCTCCCAGTGGGGAGGAGAGACCTACATTGTGTGCAATAGCTAATTTAAAGTCCCCCACCCTGGGAATGCGAGCATACTAACGGAAACACGAGTCGGGTGCACCTGCGTACGAAAACGTGTA